AATAATAATAATAATAATAATAATAATAATAATAATAATAATAATAATAACAACTTTAAAAAATATATGGAGCGTGAACAGCAGGAGAGGCTGCCCAGCTCCCGAAAGAATGCAGTCCCCAGGAAAGGGAAGTTCTAGGGGGGGTCTAGTGGTGAGGTTAGAGAGCTGGAGATGGCGAGTTCTAGTCCCGCCTCAGGCATGGAAAGCCAGTGGGGTGATTTTGGGTCAGTCCTCCTCTTTCTCTCAGACCAACCCACCTCACAGGGTTGCTGTTGAGCAGAAAATGGGAGGAGACTTTGTGTTGGATATGTCAGTAGCCTCCAGTTTTTAAAAATAAGAAAGAAGGGATACAAATAAGTGAGAATGAGAAAATAAGGTTGCTTTTCCCATGGAGTGGCCTGTTTGCCGGCTAGAGCAGTGCTGCTTAGTTTGGAAGGGGTCAACGGTCTGAGATGAGAACAAGCTTTCTCCCAGCCGGGATGTTTCGGTGGCAACAACACTCTATTGCGGCGGGAGGGTTGAAGGGCTACAGCAACCGTCTCTTGGACTTGTACCTTGTGGCAGGGATCCACCGTGCAGATCTCGCTGATGTCCAGATCGTGGAGGGACATCAGGAGCTCCGCCCTTAACGTGCAATAATGGACGTTCCGTGTCCGAAGGAAGAGAGTGCGGAGGAACTGCAGTACCATATCGTACAGCTTCACGTTCTTCCCAATCATCTGGGTCAGCTTCTGAACCACCTGGTCCCAAAGACAAGAGCAAGATTCGGAGTGGGGTCTGGGACAATTCACTGCGGCCAACTCAGCACACGTCAGTCAACTAATTTGCCGTAGGCAACTCCCGCATCTTTGCAGAAGCCCCTCAAATATTGGAGCACTGCTATTATGCCTCCCCTAGTCCTTTCCTTCATCCAATTAAGAGATACCCAGTTCCTGCAACTGTTCTCCGTATGTTTTAGCCTCCAACCACCTAATCATTCTTGTTACTCTAGTCTCTAGAGTGTCAATATCTTTTTTTATATCGTGGTGACCAGAACTGGATGCAGTATTCCAAGTGTGGTCTTAGCAAGGCTTTATATGTTGAGAATGACAGAGAGAGAGAGAGAGAGAGAGAGACTGGGCTAACCTTACATTGGAAATTCTCCATCTGAACTTGGCAAAGCCGCCCAACATGGCCAACAGTGAAGAATCACGGAGCTTCTCATTCAACAGTATACGAAGGACAAATAGTTCTTTATCCACGCCATGCACTACTCATGATATCACACTGGCCTACGGGTGGCCCAGCTACCTACAATAAGCATGCTGGATTATCCTTCCTGGTGCTTACCTCTCCCTGGCGCCTCATTTTAGGGGAAGGGCTGAAGAAGTTCTGCAGCACCGAGAGGTCGTTACTGAATAAAGCGTTTTCCTTCTCCAGGATGTACTGCTTCAATAACGGGGAGACCTCGTCCCCAAACAGAGCCTGGTTATCTTGCCAGATCTGGCGTTTTACTTCCACAGCACAAGCTTTATATAGGTCCTTGTCGGCCATCACAAGCTTCAACTTTTTTTCAGGAACCTTGGGTTTAATGGGAAAAAAAATATGGAACTTGGATGTTGTATCTGTGGACGGCAGCAAGATTACGTCATGCGCAAAAATGGAGGGACACTTCAGTCCCCGCCATGGATGAATGACTGCAAAAGCCAATTGGCGTTAGCAAAGACGGTTAAACCGACTGCTCTAATCAAAGGGGGGGGGGGGGGACCCACAATGACTTTTGTTTCTCCTTGGAAACCACTTCTGGACTTTGTGCTTGAAGTGGCAAAAAAATATGAAACTTTGATGTCGAGTTTTACCAATTAGGTAGATCTCTTGTTACAGAAATATTTATATTTATTTAGTTGTATTAGTACTAATACTAATATATTTAGTTTATATTTTTATGGAAAATTAAAAAAAAAGAGATTTGATGTTACTGTTTTATTCAACTGCGCCAAAGGGAGTCAAAAGTCAATGCCTTTTTTTTCCTTTTCCCTTTTTTTTCTATGCTTTTCTATGCAGAAACGGAGGAAATCTACCTTGGGCAGATGTTTCATGACACACATCACCACCGGCTGGATGGACGGCATCTTTACCAGAGGGAAGCTCTTCTCCAGGAGATCTTCCAGCTTTTTGTACCTGGGAGAAGAAGAAAGGAGAAGCCAGAGGTTCCATTTTCGGCCCGATGTGCACATCCCTTCTAAGGTGGTCCACCCAACCTACCTTTCTTCGGCCTTTCCTTCCGAGGCGATAGCCGATACCCTCTCCAGAAGCTTCTCGCGCAGCTCATCAAACACCGACTGGTGGAACTCCAGCCTGGGGGTGCCATGGAGGTCCAGGAAAGGGAGGGCGGACTGAAGGGAGGGCAACAGGATCCCGTTTTCCGTCTGTCAACATGACACATGTGGGATTCAAACAGATTAGGAGCAGGTAATTCGCACATTTCTCACCCCCCTGCATTGGTCCTAACGGTGGGAAAATGGTCCTAGTCACGTTCTTCAGCGCCATTGTAACTTTGATCACTAAATGAACTGTTGTAAGTTAAGAACTACCTCTGTTTATTTATTAATAATTGGGCGGGGGAGAGAAGAGGAAGACAGTTCAAACATCTGGAAGCCATAAACAGACTAAAACCCACCCTAGATTTTCAGGCTGCGAAAGCCTCAATCTTGGCCAGCCTGTTAGTCACCCCCTTGCACCTGATGCAGTGCGTGTGAATGCATGCACACATGCACAGCTGAATGCGCAGCTTGCAACAGACCCGGAGAGATTTTAAGGAGCAATGCAGCAAAAAGAAAGACGGAGGGAGGGAGGGAGAGGGAAGGAGACAGGGATGGATGGAAGGGAGATAGGAGAGAGAGATGGAAAGAGAGAGAGAGGGAGGGAGGGAGGAAAGGTGATGGAAGGAGACAGATGGAAGGAAGGAAGGAGAGCGAGGCAGCTTCCCCACCCTCTCCCGGACCTTGCGTGCTTTTTGCACCCGCGTGGAAGAACCGTGCTAAGCACAAACTCTCCCCCAGGGTGTGCACGCCGTGGGAAGGTGGGAGAAGACTCAAGAGGGCATGTTGCACGCTGTACCCCGGGACTAGTCCCCATGGCAACGGGAACACGGAAGGGAGTTTCCCCCCCCCACACACACACACCTGGAACTGCTCGATGGCCTTCAAGGGCTCCATGCAGTTGGTCAGCGTCTCCTTCAAGTCCTCCCCGTTGGCCACCCCGAGCTCTTGCAAGCCGGCGAACATGATGCCAAAGCTCCGCAGCTCGAACGGGGTTCGCCCGCCCCGCAACGGCTGCGGTGCGACGGCGAAAGGCGCCCCCCAGCGGCCGTCGGTCCGATGCTCAAAGGCGTCCCGCCGGGAAACCGCGTCCCGCCCCTAAAAGGTTCCGCTTCGATTCGCGATCAGCTTGTTTCCCACCAAAAAAAACACAGGCACAAAACAATTAAGCAAATCGCCCAAATTTATTATCTGGGGGAAATGGCATTGGCTTCGTCTGAAGGTTTAGCCCTGAAGCCCGTCAAGCAGTTCAAATCAACGGTGGAAATAACCTTAAATAAAAATATTTTTTTAAAAAATGCCATACAAGTCGTCCTGCACTACATTTGAGCCGTTTTCTGTTGTTAAATGAGACAGTTGTTAAGTGAGTTTTGCCCCACCTCTCTCACCGCAGTTGTTAAGTGGAAAAAAACTGCAGTTGCTAAGTGAGCTTCTCCCTTGACTTTGCTTGTCGCAAAAGGGGATGACATGACCGACGGTCGTAAGTACAAGTCAGTTGACACGCATATGAATTTTGATCACGTGGTCGTGGGGAATGTTGCAATGGTCATAAGCGTGAAAAACAAAAGAACAAGCCACGATCCCCACTCGTTCATTTATACACTTTGGTTTTGGCTCTTGTTTGTTATTAATGATTTCTTAAGATGCTTTTTTAAAGAAAAAGAACAATAAATGAATTTCCTTAATGCAGGTTTAGGATGCAGATGGACCTGGCTGAAGACAGCAGGACACAGGAGCATCTTTAATTTTAGGGGTCTCCACACACACACCCCGCCCCCAAGTGTCTTCATTCTCTTTTCCTTTCCATTCGCCTGCCTGGACCAATGAAGCAGGGAGCAAATGAGGCATTCAAAATTCCCACTTGGAAATTCATGGTTGAAAGCATCTCAGTGGAACAAAAATTTGGGCTGCTTCCCATGTAAAGCCTTAATGTCCAAGCAATGCACTTAGATTAGAACAAAAATCAACAATATTCTGGGAATGAGTATTTTGTTTCCTTTAATCTTAGGCTTGCAAATCTGTTACTTGTGCTGCCCTTTGCTTTTCTTCTTTCTTTTTCGATTCTGCTTTTCCTTCTGAAAAGTTCAATTTAAAAATAAAATTAAAATGCTTAGTCTTATATGCCCTTTTCTTTCCTAAAGCGCCAAAGTGATTTCATTTAAGGGCAAATCTATCTATCTATCTATCTATCTATCTATCTATCTATCTATCTATCTATCTATCTATCTATCTATCTATCTATCCACCCACCCACCCACCCACCCACCTACCTACCTATCCACCCACCATGTATATCATCTCTATCCATCAATTAATCTATTCATCCATCATCTATCTCTATCATCTCAATTAATCAATCTATCCATCTATCTCTGTCATCTCTATCAATCTATCAATCACTCTATCCATCCAAACACCCATCTATCTATATTTTCTTTCCCTCCTTTCTTTCTTTTTCTTCCCTCCCTCCCTCCCTCCCTCCCTCCCTCCTTTCTTTCTTTCTTTCTTTCTTTCTTTCTTTTCTTTCTTTTCTTTCTTTTCTTTCTTTTCTTTCTTTCTTCTTTCTTTCCTTTTCTTTCTCATTACCCTTTATGTGCTGCGTGCATATGCATGCTGTTATATGCAGATTAAAACCAGTGTTAAATATTTCATGCTGAACTTTACAAATTAGAGAACTGGGAGCACAATAGAAGATAGGGCCTCTCCCTTCCTGCCCCCTTCTCCATCTTCTCCCCCCGCGTCTTCCACCCTGGGGCCTGGAGGACAGGCATTTTGGATTGATGAGCCAGCCTCCTAAACCAACCAGGGGATTTAGTGCCAGATCCTTTGAAAGGGAAAAGGGAGGAGGGAAAACCCAACTCTCAACTCCCAAGTGCCCTTTGTCTGATATCATCTGCAACTCTTTTGCTCTTCTTGGACAATCATACTCCAAATGATTGTCTTACCATCTACAGCAAAACCCTTTAAATTTAATTTCTTAGCACTCTTCTCCTTAGACATCTGGGGGGGGGGGGGGATATGTGAATCTTTGCAAATTGATCTATGCCCCCTTCCCATCTATTTCCCAACCCCCTTTTATTCAGAGAATCTGTTCCGCAGATGCAGTCTTACAAATCCCCCATATTAAGGCAGAACACGGTGTGGTGGCTTGTGGTGGAAGGATTGCAGCCATTTTTGTATCCCCCCCCCCCCCGCTTGGACAGATGTTGAAGAAACAGCAGCTCAGGCAGATGTTGAAGGCACAGGGATTCCTCTTGCAATAAAAGAGGTGAACCCATGTTTTAAATTTTAACGGACATTCCTGAACAACAAGAAACCTGAATCTTTGACCTGGAAAAGTTTAATAATAGGATTGTCACTGACAGGTTGCTGAACAGGGTGGCTGTGTTACGTTCACCAGACGTGAGCCTTTCCCCAATGTAGGCCACCAATTAAAACATTTTTTAAAAAATTTAAGCAAGGGGAAATTTAAAAGGAGGATTATATAGGTTCCCTTGCCAATGGGGAGACGTTGGCAATGGACTGTTGACAGTGAGAAAAAGAAATCAAGAAAGTAAAATATGTCCTTCAGATGAAATATGTATGATTTTTTAAACCCTTTTAAAGAAAAGACTGGACAGCCACCTGTCTGGAATGGAATCTCCTGCTTGACTAGTGGGTTGGACTAGAAGACCTCCAAGGTCCCTTTCAGCTCTATTCTGATTGAACTTAGCGGAGATTGAAGTTTGGATTGGCAGCCCGGTTCCATTGTTTTTTCCTGACTCAGATTATGCCTTTCATTGCTTTCTCTACTGCTGGGAGATTTTTTCTTTTTTTTTAAATTGAGGCGTTCTCGGTGCTCCCCGAGTTTGGCCATTTTCTTGCAGACGTTTCATAGCGCAACTAGGTAACCTCACCAGGGTTACTTAGCCGGATAACAAATCGTCTGCAAGAAAACAACCAAGGCCAGAGAGCACCACGGGGCCCTCATTTCAAGCCTGAGCTACAAATATTCTCAGTATTTTGAAAAAAATAAATAAATGTGTGTTTTTTGGGAAATGAGGGTTTGGCCACTGAGACAGAAAAGCCACAGCTTTGGATCTCCTCTCCGGTGAAGGAGAAAGCAACGAGGCATATAATTTTCAGCGTGAAATATGTTTGCTACTCAGTTCCTACCCGTTAACTGAATGATCTTCAGTGACGGCATGAAAACGGCTTTTGGGTTCAGAGATTTTTCACGTGCCTTCATTTGGTACTTGGGATGTCAGTTTGCAAGCCTTCACCACAGCGGTTGCCATGGGGACACCAGGTTATGCGCTCAAGGGAGCCTGCCATGTGCCTCTCTTTATCTTCTTGTGACTCAGGGAATGCCTGCCTGCCTGCCTCCACCGGCCGCCCACTTATCCATCATGTCATAGCACACATCCCTGGGCACCTGGGGAGAAGACTATTGCACCATGACTATTGCGAAGGTCTTGGGAACATGGGAATCAGATATGTGCACGGGGCTACAGCGTGACTATAATCACAATTCTATTTTCCTCTGACTTGGGTGGGTGGGGGGAACTGGAGAGAATCAACCCCTCCTACATGAATTAGAAGAGGAGAATATATCAACTACTGAATAAGGTGAGACTTTTCAAGAAGAGATTGGACTGCCATCCGTCAGAAATGGCGTAGGGTCTCCTGCTTGGGTGGGGGGTTGGACTAGATGACCTACAAGGTCCCTTCCAACTCTCGTTAATCTGTTAAATCTGTTAAACGGACCCTTAATGATGCATTCATTATTAAGAGAAGAGGGAGCCAACGTGGTCAACGTGGTTAAAGCACCAGGCTACAAAGTGGGAGATGGTGAATTCTAGTCCCACCTTAGCCATGAAAGCCAGCTGGGTGACTGTGGGCCAATCACCAGGAGGTGTGAATTCTAGTTCCCCCTTAGGCATGAAAGTCGTCTATGGGTGACATTGGGCCAGCCTCAGCACAACCCACCTCACAGGATTGTTGTTGTATGGAAAATAGGGAGAGGAAGGGGGCATATTAGATAAGCTAGCTGCCTTGAGTTATTTATAAAAATATAAATGATGAGATGAATTGACTGTCGTTGAAAGTAATTCATCTTACTACATCGAGCCTTGGTGAGGCTGTGTGTTCGAAGTGATACCTCCAATCTGGCCTCCAATCTTGGACTTTCTGGTGGTCTCCCAATCCAGAATACTCCCCATGTTCAGAAAGTCCGAGCCTCTTGGGCAGAGAGAGAGGGTTCTTAGCGGGAAGAGCAACCAGAACTGCCTCTTTTATTTCCAGTGTGCTAAACCAGTTTTTCTGCCTTTGGGAACATACCTGGGCAAGTGTATGCAAAAGCCTACCCATCCTTTTATTTCCTTTCTAGGAAGAGAAGCCACGTTATGCAAAACATGGAGAAAAGGAAAGAAAGAAGGCAGCGAGCCGAAGAACCTGAGCTAGAAATAAGACGACTTAACTGAAATCTACTTTACAGCCACACTGTTCAGGCTTCTATTGATTTTGTTCCTTGCAAATCATCCTATCAAATCCACGAATAGCTTCATGCGTCGCTTTCTGTTCTTTTAAAATTCTCACCTTTCTGTTTTCCAGGATCTCGACTTCCTAAAATCATAATGATCTCAATCGTCCTTTTCCTCTTTCTCTTCCAACCGGGGCTGATCTAAACTAACAAAACAAACCAACCAACAAGCAAGATCGGATCTAATTAGTACTTGGATTAGTTCCCATATGACAAGAGAAATTCTAACACTATCTGATATCTCACAAACATCTGTTACCTCTTTGGTGGCAGTTTTTCTTTTTCTTTTCTGATTTCCATCTCCCTGGTCTGGAATGGAAAGAAGCGAGAGGTTTTTTTAGTTCTGCAATGGGAAGAAATAAGGGTTTTTAAAGAATAAATACGACCTCGTGGCCACAGCCATGACATTGCCCAATCAAGCTGTAATTCGGTGGTTACCTTGGCAACGTGGGAGATGCATCTGTCTGTTGGATCTCACCCTCCATCAAACATAATGGCTACGAGAGTTTATTATGC